TTGTATACAGTGTATAGAGTATATATTGGTAGATATTTTTTTTAAAAAAAAGGTATCTCGGGATTATTACAACTACTTATTATTATTATTATTATTATTATTATTATTATTACTTGTAACTTTATTAATATTCATTCAGATTTAATAATGAATCATTCTATATAATTTAATTTTATTGACATAAAATCTAATTTAATTAAATTAATTAAATATTAATAAAGAAATAAATAAATGTTTACAAAATAGAATATACATATTTATTATTATTTCTCTCACACATATACATATGTCTATATATATTATCTATTAATTTCTTTTTTTGAATGATTAAATTAGAAACAAAACAACGGTAAAAAAGTGCCTCATGTTTTCTTTTCATGGTTTTCACAGAACAACACACAATTATGAGAAAAAAAAAGAAATTGGATTGCATTGCATTTAATATTATTAATAATTATAAATTGTAATAAACATGTGGAACATGTGGCAATACATATAGATAATAAACACATATATCTCATATCGACTACTGTGTAAGTTATATATATTTGAAATTAAATAAATTAAATAATAAATATAAAAGGGTAGGAATGTACCGAAAATATTATAAAGAGGAAAGAATTCGAAATGTATTAATGTTTACTACATAACATCACATCTTGCATATTTATTCGTATCATTCATATTTATTCATGGTTATTTATTATTCATATTATTTTATTCTTACTTATTCTTATTTATACTTTGTGCGTTCGACCTTTTTATCCATATCTTCACTTTTTCTGTCATTGTTTGTTTTATCATTAAAATCATTTCCTTTCAATTACAGTAATTTGGCATTTTCGATATTTTTAGTTTTTTTTTTTTTTTCTTTTTGTAAAGCTACAAAAATATTATTATGTCATTATTTTGTTATTTTAATTCTTCGTATAATAAAATAATAAAATAATAAATAATAAAATAAAAATAATATAAATATTTTGAATCATATTTAACTATAAATAGTTTAGTACAAGTACGTTTTTGTTAATTAATTTATTTAATTTATTTGATAGCAATTAAAAATCTATCAGTCAGTAATAAACATAAACATATATATATACACACACATAAACGTTAAAAGTTGCTTACCTATTTGGAAGATAACGATCAGTTGTGACATACAATAAAATAAATAATAATAATATAATAATAATAATAATAATAATAACAATAATAATAATAAATAATAATAATAATAATAATAATAAAAAATAAAATTATTATTAAATAATGGAAGGGTAAAACAATATAGATCTTTGATTTCAGATACTGTATTACACAATGTACGATAAAAAGTCATTATCATTTTTTAATTTATATTAATTATCTTTTTATCATCATAGTAATTTTATTTATAAATATTTTTACATAAAAAAATACGGAGTGCAGGCATACTTGTATCAAAAAATAATAATTTCTTTTTATGTGTTTCATTGTAGCAGGAAATTGCGATATAAAAAGATATAAAAAGATATAAAAAGATTTAAACGGTATTCTTGATAATCTATTCCGCTGATAATCTACTCCGTAATCGGTATTTGATCGGTAATCGGTAACTATACGGTATTTTAACTGTGTAAACGGTATTTTACTAGATTTAGAGTTTAAATTAGTTTAAATTAGTTTAAATTGGAAATAAAATAAAAAAATCAATTTAATATATTTGTTTCAAAATATTTCTTTTTCGTCTTGTTGATGAAATTTTTTATGAATTATTTTTATAAGTTAAGAAAAAAAAAATTTTTTTTTTATCATTTGGAAATCAATTTAACAAACAATTAATTAAAATTACAAAACAATTAATTTTAGTTATAAACAGATGATTTAACCTTTACGAAAAAAAAAAAGAAATTATCATCAATCTACAACACGCGGAATGATCATCATGGTGTTGTGTTGTGTGTTTATCATCATCACATCATAGTATTTGATCATTGTTTTTGTTATGTTTAGTGGAGAGATCGTTATTATAGTTATTATAGTAAATCATGTATAGAGTAGATTAAATTCGAATTCAAATCTTAAGATTTTTTTTTGTAGATTTTGTTGAGCCTTGATCGTCAACACGCACGTACCAACAAAACGAAAAAAAAAAAAGACCAAACAAAACGATGGATGTTCAAAAAAAAAATAATAATAATAAACGTTAAATTTATCCGAAATAATTTAAGTTTACTTTTTAAAGTTTTTATTTTTTTCATTAATAAAAAAATTTTTTTAATACAACCCTTTATATTAACTCAGATTATCCTTAACTATCTTGCTATTATTCTCTATATTAATTAATTTTTAATTATAAACTATATTAACTAAGCTGTTATTATATAAAAAATTTTTCTGATGTAATAGTCATTAATACTATTGATACTTCCATTTTCTGAAATTAACCAGTAATTAAATATAATAATAATTTTGATTTAAAAACGAATAATATAAAAAACGTGACAATATACAATACTGTTACGGAGTTAATTTATGCGATATATCTGAATTATTATTATTTACGCATTAAGAAAAAAAAGTATTGATTAAATAGAATATTTGATTTAAACAAAATGTTCATTTTACTGTTTGTCCACATATTATATTTAAACTGTATACTTATACAGTATTATATAAAATATAACATATAATATTGGTATCCAATCGGTGTTATACCGATGTGCCGTTTATACCAGTTATACTGGTTATACATCATCATATTTGGCGATATTTAACCTTTTTTAACTATTTTAATCTTTTTTCGGTATCATATATTATCATATATATCGGGAACTTTTAATCTTAAATAATAATAATAAAAATAAAATTATTATCAACAGTTTAATAATAGCTATGAATAGTTATATGAACAGTATATGAATAGTTATATGAACAGTATATGAATATTATATTAATAATATTAATAATAATGACAGTACACGTCATATACGAGATATCTTTGGGAACTCTCCTTTTTTTCAACTATAACGGTAAATCGAACGGTATTTTTAATATAATTATATTTTGTATGAATCATATGATTAATAATATTATTATATTAACGGTTAACTAAATATATCTGATATTAATAAATTATATTAACTATTTTAAACTATTTATTATAAACTCTTTCTTATTATTATTTACATACTACTCATTATTATAGTCTTATTATACTCATTATTATACTCATTATTATAGTCTTAATTATTACTGTTTATTCACTCTGTATAAACTACCCTTATCGGACAGTTTAAGAACTTAAAACGTTAGTTTTTTTTTTCTTCAAGTGTCTTTGTTATGATATAGCTATTTTTTATTTTTTTTTCTCGGAAATTGACAAAAAATATTACGAACATTTTACACTTTTTTCTCTCTCTTTTTTTTTTCTATAAATAAATAAATAATATAAATAAAAAAAATTAAAGTAGTAATATGTAAACAATTTCTTCCGAATTTTTAAAAAAAAAAAAAAATTCTTCTATACAACACATTTTTTTAACCTAATATATCAAATTATATCAAAATATAAATTATATCAACATATCAAATATATCACGGTTACCTAGAAAAAAAATTTTTTTTATTTATTTATTTTGTGATTTTGTCTGTGTGTGTATATATGTTTTTATGTTGTGATGTTGTTTGTCTGTGTGAGACAATTATAAAAAAAATTTTTTTTATCTTATCTTTAACTATAAAATTAACTATAAAATTAACTATAAAATTAAACCAACGTTTAGCTTACTAACATTAACTTACTGTTACTGAACTTGAACTTGCATCAACTTATACTAAAATTAACAAATATACATATTTTTTTTACATTTGAACCCACGCATACACAATAAAATACGATAAATAACGATAAAATACGATAAAATACAATAAATATAATAAATATAATAATAACAATAAATAACATTATAAATAACACACACATAAAAATAACACACATAAAAATAACACAAAAAAAAAACCCCCCGAATCAACAAAAATTTCCTTTTTCTTGATTTGATTGCATTGTGTATATAAGTATAAATATATCAAGTTTTAAATTTTGGAGTTCTACTCTCTTCTCTTCTCTCTTCTACTTCTCTTCCGAGTTTTGCCAAGTTGTTTTTATATATATCGTCGATTTGGACATTTTGAAATATAAAAAAAAATTTATACAAGGTAATATTAAAAGATAAAGAAGACAACACATTGGAAATCTAAAAAAAGCATCTTTCTGTTTTCTTCTTCATTCTTCATTATTCTTTTTTTTATTCTTCCCTCTAAAGTAATCCATCTATCTTATTTGATTTTTATTTTATTTATAATATAATTGTGTATATTTTGTTTTAATTGTATAATTCATTATAATTCCTTTTTTTTTTTAAATATAAAAAACCCCCACTTTTTCAATTTTACTTTTCAATTTCAATTTTTTTTTTTTTTTTTAAAAAAAAAAAATAATAAAAAAAAATTTTATTTTTTTTTAACATTATCAATAAAAAACATAAAAATTACTTACCTTTAGTTATTTTTTCTTTCCCATTATGACAATACCTATTACTCATTTCAATTTACCGTCGTCTCTTGATTCCTCTTACAATAATAATCATAATCATTATAATCACAATCATTATAATAATATTTCAACAATTCAACATCAATTCGATCAACAAAAGTTTCATCAACAATACAATTTAGCCACAATATCTACAATAAATAATAATAATAATAATAATTCTATTTCTCCACCTTCACCTAATTCGCCTCCACCTCTACCTACGCATCATAATCATCAAGTAACTCTGGCTGCTTACGTTCAAGCTTATAATAATAATAATAATCATCATCATCATAATAACAACAACAACAATAATAATAATAATTCTTCATCAATTCGGTCTTCTACTACAACTACTACTGATTCCACCACCACTGATTCATCATCTTATCCTTCACCTCTTATTGACGATTCATCAATAATGAGTACATCACCAACAAACACTTTAAGTTTTACCAATGCTACTGGAGAACATAAACCTGTGATTAATAGTGATGGCTATCCTGCGACTCAGTATGTTTTTTTATATTTATATTTATTTTCATATTATCACAAATTCTAATCACATTGATAATATCACATATATTACATATAATAATAATTTTCTTTTATAATAGATATTCGACAACTCCATATTCTAATTCATCAACTCAATCACCAACATCATATATTTCATCAAATGGTATGCAACACATGGATCGACGATCAAGTTTAGCTGCTGGTGTTCCAGTATTGCCAATCCTTCATCAACCTTTTGCCTCTCATCATGATATTAAAGTTCATAATTTACCTCATCATAATCATCATAATCATCATCCAGAAAATTCTGAACATCATTCACCACCACCACCACCACAACAACCACAACAACCACAACAACAATGGTCAACTAATAATGGGAGTCATACGTCATCATCATCATCATCGCCACCGTTTCCTTTTGGATCTTATACTACTACCAAAACCAATCCATCAACCACCACCAATGCTGCAAATGTTATAAATAATTCTAATACTACCACGAACACAAATACATCAACGAAATCATTTGATGATAAAACCACGATAGATGGATCATTCTTAAGTACTCATAATACTCAATCTCCACCTTCTACTATAGGTTATTATAATCAAGGTCCATTATATGATCGAAATGGTATTAATACTAATAATGCTACCGTGGCTGCTGTAGCTGCCGCTGTGGCTGCCAATAACAATACTGGTAATTTTCCACAAGATTATCCAATGATGGCAAATAGATTTACTAATGGTACTATAACCGTAATGTCATCAGCCACCGATAATGGTAATAATATTAACATAATAAAGGCACATCATCAACAACGACAACAAGTTCATCAACAACAACAACATCATCATCAACATCATCACCATCATCAACAACAACAACAACAATTAAGA